TCGCGCCAGACGATCTATTTGTTTTGTTTCAGATAATTTCTTGGTATAAATAGATTAATTAGTAAAAATGATTTTCCGGGAATTTTGCTTGTGTTTCCCTGTACATCGGAAGCGCTGTGTGAGCCCGTACCTGCTATTCCCATTGTAGCACCTTATTTGTCTTTGATCTTCCTTGCCGTTTTCTGATTTTCACATGCTTTTAGCCTTACCTGTAACGGCATTATGGAGGGTAACAAGTCATGTGCTCGCTCTTCTTTCGATCATGTGATATACTATCACTTCGCACGAAAATGAAATAGGAATTTTCCGGAGATTTGATGTATTGTTACTATCGTAATAAATTAATAAAGAATATTACTTATTTATTTTTGAATTATTAATATTTAATATGCCCCAAAAAAAAAAAATATCACTAAAGAAGAGAACTTGAGAATAGTAAGATATCGATCCGTTTTAATAATTGCTTTAATAATTGCTTTAATAGTTCCAACAGTTCATCGATTTCTTTTTCGTGAATATTATAATAATTCTAAAATACTATTTGTTTTATCGATCAGAAATATAAAAATATATATGAAAAGATAACAAGTCTCGAAAGAAAATTCATGAACATAATAAGATTTATGAAACACAGATTTCGAAATAAATACATCATTAATTTAATTCGGTTTTGACCCGTATAAATAAAAGAAAGATATACTTATCAATCTTATACCTCTAAATTTACAATCTGTCATTGCTCTTTTATTGTTCGGTCTTACTTTATCTCCGTGCATTTTCACCTATACTAGTAATTAAAAATCATTAATATGATAAATAATTTGGAGGTTTCAGAATTAACTTATTTTGAAAATAATGAGTTTAAAAGGTCCTATTTTCTATTTTAAAATTTCGAATTATAAAATTAAATAGACGTGTCCGGTGATTAAAATTAGCTTCTTTTGATGTATATCTACCGATAATTAATCAGGGTTTTACATTGATTCAAATTTTTTTTCTTTTTTTTTTAAAAAAACATAATCATTTCTTTCGCTGTTTGCTCTTTTGGGTTTTAGCACTTTCAAGCTTTTTTTCGTAATATTTCGTGTGAACGTTTAAATATTTTCTCCAAAATTTTTTATTATACCTGCTTTTTTAGATCATACTGCTATACGAAAATCCGAAAACAAAATATTGATTGTTTTTTTTTTTGGTTTGCTTATTTTAATTTTGGTTTGTTTTTGTAAATGTATGTAAAATTTACTAATTATTTAGCAACTTAATTTTAGCCATTGCTGATTGAAACGATCCATTATGTTGATCGATTGTTACTAGGTGGAGTTGTCGCTTTCAAATAAAAAAAAAAATTGGAAAAGTTCGACGGAAGTTGAGTTGTTTTCCAATTTTGCAGTATTTTTGTTGAGTTGTTTTCCAATTTTACTGTAGTATTCTGTTGAGTTTCTTGAAAGTTGGTAGAAAGTTCCTCCGTTGCTTCTTCATTTTGGGAAATACCAGCATCATTTGGTAATTATGAATCATTATATCAGAATATCAGATGTTTCAATAACATTTATTTTCAGCATTACTAATTAGCAAACCAGCTCCTATTGAAATATTGTGTCAGGGTTACTGTACGATTTCCAAATGCTATTTTCCCGAAAGAACATAATACTGACTAATTATTTTTCTTTCGGGAAAACAAAAAAAATCTATTAATTAGCAATTCGCAGTAGCATTTTATTTATTTGCGGTATTGTAACAGTATCAATAAAATGATTTTAAAATATTTCAAATGTTCGTATTAATTTGAAACAGAGTTGGGTATTTTTTAAAATTACAAGCTTATGAAGACTTTATAAAATTTCCTTAGCTGTGTCAGAAGCACTTATTTTCGTCAATGTTTAGATTATTTTTTTTACTACAGTAGCAGAAAAATTTTGAAAGTGCGTTTACAAATTATTTGGAATTTTTGGTTTTGAAAAACAACCCGATGTTTTTGCGGCTTCGCTAAGGTAGCGTGATCTAGTTTACCCAATTGAAGACGGTATTTCATGTGTATTTTAATTAACGGAAAGTATTCTTAATCGATCAATCGAGCTTGTCATTAAGATAAGTAAGGTATTTTATTTGTTATTGAGTGAAAGAAAAATTTTAAATAGTAAAAAATGAACAGTGAGTTTATCATTTCAGTCAAAAAACTTTTTTCTCCGAATCTCCTTTTTTTCTGCGCTGACTTATCAAAACTTCATAAATATTAAAGTTAATTAAGTATTGTTCAAGTGTTTCATACTTTTTATTATGGATTTTTGTAATCGACTCACATTTTTTGTAAAATTTTCTTTAAACTTTTAGAATCATTGCAAGCAGTGATTGAGTTCTTTATTTTGATCTATAGTTTCAATTGAGCAGCACTACAATTATTAGTAATAATAACGTTTGAGCATATCTCAATGATATCATTATTGACTTTTATCCAAAATGTTATGACAATAGCTAAAAATTACGTCATAATACTTGCGTACTATTTCGATCACTATGAATTCGCATCTAGGTTGATTCTTAAACCACGAAAATGCTTCTAACCATGGCAATTTTGTTTTTTTTTGTTATAAACTTCTAACCACGGTAAAATTGAAGCTTTTTAACTTGATCATGACACGACTTTGACTACACTGAGCTCGCTTGCAGAGGAATCATAACATGGTAAACTTTGAACTTGAAATGAAGATTACTGTAATAATTACAAACTATCTAGCCATTAAATTCAAAATTAAAATAATGACCAGGATATAATTTCGAATTTTGCCTGCACTAAGCTTAATGCTGGCCAAAATTTGGGATAACACCCCGGGCATATGGTTTTTTTTACAATATCTGATATTTATATTAATAAAATTATGTCCACTTTCATCACGAAGTTATAAAAAAATAATAAATCTAGATGATTAACCCAGGTTAATCAATCTAAAAAAGCATTAAAAAACGGGGCTTTGTCAAACATTGCAATGTATAAAACATCAATATATAATGTACGACATGTTATTTAACTAAGTAGTTAAATATCTAGTTATATATCATAATGATTATCGTTAAAGAGACAACGAGTTTATTATTGATTTTAAAACTTCCTGATGTTAAGTATCATTCTAATACCGGTTTTATTTACTTATTTAACCCCTTGATTTATACTTCAGGGACGCTATTCATAAAAAAAAAAAAAACCTTTTTAAAAAACATGCCTTGTGAAAAAAATATGCCCAGTTTAACAATCCTCTCTACTGTAACGCCGGATTCAAACACAAAGCTTTTAACGATAATTCTTTCAAATTGTCATACAAAAGGGATATCTTAATAAATTTTAAAATTAATAATGAGTTGTTTTCATAATAGTTATAATATTTTCGATGAAATATGACTTCAATCCATCACATAATATCATGATGTCCATTTCGTCCACGAGCGAAAACGTATCCAAAGGTGTTCTCATATTACGTGATGTATTTGAAGTCTGCGCCATAAAGAAATCTCATAACAATATTCATAAAATTGGGTATAGTATTCGGCTTTTTTATAACAAACTAGTGCGACGGGTGGCACATCAGCGCGCCACCATCTTATATAGAAATTTACAGCTATTTTAATATACATAGTATGTAATTAAGGTCATGATTTCTATGTAAAAAATCTTGCTTATACAACTTATAATGGTTGAGATTGAATTGGTTTGTATTGAATCATCATAATTTCTACTATGATTACTGTAAAAATTCCGTCGCTAAACTGTTATTCTAGTGACTACAGTATATGGTAAAGTTCAGTTTGCATTGACATTATCACTATTTTTACAGTTATTGTAAAAAAATTCTGTTACAAAACTTACTTATTTTCATTAACGATAATATGTTGTTGAGTTTGGTATTGAAATTTTCATAATTTCTATAATGGGAACTGTAAAAAAGAGTTCTATTACAGAACTTACCACTTTAGAGGCCACAGTATATAATTGAGTTTGTATTAGAATTATCGCAGTATCTATAGTAAATTGTTATAAATTCTGGTTTCAAAATTGTTCATTATTTTGGCGTGTAATATGTAGTTGAGTTGGTTTGTATCGAACTTTCGTGATGTAGTTGAGTTAGTATGTATTGGAATTATTTGTGATTCCTTTCGTGAGCCATTGTAAAAAATTTTATTAAAACCTTACTTATTACTTACTATTCTACTAATTATAGTATGTAATTAAGATTTAGTTAGCACCGAAATTATTGTAGTATTTATCATAAATTATTGTAAAAAAAGACTTTTTACAAAACTTATCACTACTCCAATGATATATAATATGTAGTCAAAAAAGTTACATTGGAATTATCATGATTTTGTGATAAGTTACTGTAAAAAATTTTGTACATACTTACTCGTTATTTCAATGACCACAGAATATGATTAAGCCCGAGTTAGGTTTATTGAAATTATTGTGATTTCTATTTAGTTATTGTTGAGTCAGTATTTGAATAATCGTAATTTCTATTGCGAGTTGCTATAAAAATTTAGTACAGGACTTACTTTTTCGTTATATGGGTTAGGCTCGCTATAAAATTAGATGTTTAGACTCATTGGCTCGATAGTTTTTGCTCAAATTTTTTATTTATAATAATTGTAACAATACGAACAAAAATTACAGAAAAAAATTTTACATTAAAATGCAAGAAAAAAAAATCATTGAATCGTTTTACGTGAAATTTCTTTTTAATTCATATGTAAATTTGTTCTTTACTATGGATTGATACTCCAATTTTTAGAAAATTTACTATTATATATTTATTGATTGACCTTACATAGTTTTATCAATTATAATGTTGGACACCTTAGAAACTATATAAAATTTAACCTCTATAAGCACCAAATTCTTGGAACCAAGGGTGTGGTTATAAAGAGGTTTGACTGTATATATAAACGGATACTCTTATATAAGTGAAAATTGGTTTTCGAACCCAAAAATCTCCAGATCTTGTGCAACAAAACTATGAAAAACTTTGCTCACTGACGGTATTATTGTTCTTGACTGACGGTATTATTATCCTCTTTATTATCCTTTTTGCTATTATGTTTTTTATTAATTTCAATATCATACTCTAAACCATAGAGATGATATAAAATTTTTTCTTCTTCTATACGTGTCAAACAAATCCTCTTTAGATCCCGATTTTCGTCTAGAAGACAAACGCCACAAACACAAAGGAAAAGACAACAATAAAACGATTTCAAATTTTCTTTTGCATATTGCAGCGCGAGACCGACACATAGACAGTAATAAAGACCAATGACACCAAGACCAATAAGGGCAACATCCACATAAATTCCATTAGGTTGGTTAATAACAAAATTATAAAGATCATACCCCGCAATACAAAAAAGAGCAATACAACCAAGAAACGCATAAAGGCATTGAGCCGCTTCCATTTTTGCTGTTTGATTATTCTTTTCTCTTATTTCTATAATATTGTCATACACTTCTTTTATTAATTCGGGTGATTTCACAATTAGAGCAGCAGGTTTTGCAAGACTTTCGAACTCAGAACCTTTAATACCTTTCTCAAGATCAGAATCTGAAATGGAAGTGGAGGAACTAAGAAATGAATAAAAAGCCGTAATTGCACCACTTGCGGAAACGAAAGAACTAACAGAAGACACGGAAATGCCTATAATATCATCTAATTCCTTAAAATGTATTTTTAAAACTATAATAACAATCCCAACAATTATACCTAGAATACATAAACAGGCTGTATAGAAGTCTAATTTCCAGACTCTTTTCTTAAGTTCAAGAGCTCGTTTATATAGGTTTCTCAAAATCATTAGAGCCATCTGAGCTTTATCAGTTTCAGTCGTAGCGACAGTAGCAGTATCATTCGATTTCTCACCGCCTTTCTTTTCTTGATTACCATTTGACATCTTGATTTTTTTTTGAATTAAGCTTGAATTCTCTAGAGTTGGCCTGTTTTGCTTGTAATCAAATTTTACAAGAGGTCAATTGATTTAAATTTTGAAATTTAAATTTTCATTATGTACGTACGTACGTACGTAAGGATAACATCAATGCCACAGTGTCATGACATGAATTTGGACATTTTTGGATGTTCAAACAAAAAAAAAATAAATAAACAAAAATAAACAACAACACTAATATATAAATGTTAAATCTATAGGTCTATATCTCAAACACTAAATAATTAATGCTTGGTGTCTTAAGTAAAAATGTTCAAAGACCCAAAAATCTTATTTAATAAAAATTTCGACTATTATAGAAATTAATCCTATATTGGCCTATTACTGTACTCTAAATTTTAGCAGTAAAATTACAGTCAACCCTCTCTAAGTGCAACCTCTCTAAGTGCAACTTTTCTCTAAAAGCAACTTTAACTTCAGGCCCAAGTAAAATTAAAATTGATGATACCCTATTTTAATTTCTATTCCTTCGACAACTTTGGTGGGACTATTGTTGTTAGGCGAAACCATTGTTGGCAAATGGCGAAAGACGAAAACGGCGAAACCCTGGTGAGACTCTTGGTAAAGGTGAAATCTTAGAGAAAGTCAAACCTGCCAAAGATCAAATCCTCTAAGGCTTTGGAAAGGACTGAGTCATGTTAGTAAATATTTTAGCGTGGCTATTAAGCACAGCATGTGGCTTATATAAAAAAAGTACAAAAGCAACAAATGCTGCGGATCATAATTAAAGTTGAGCTTTTATTTAACGTTCTGAAGCCACATGTACTTGTTTACTCCCTAAAGTTAACCCTAACTCTAAATAAATGCACCAAAAAATTTTGTATTTTTCGTTTGCTTGTCTAATTCATTTATCTGATCCTGACATTTTTTTTGGTAGAACGCCCAAAAATGTCCAAACTCATGTTATGACAACAGTGGCATGGATGTTGTGTGTACTTACAGTACTAGGGTGCGACATCAATTTAATTTTACATTATTTATACAGTTTAAAGTTCTTTTTTAAAAAAAAATAAACTACGAAGAATTAACAAAATTGAAAGTTTTATTAGGGTTGTAGGACTCCACTATTAAAAATAATCAAAATCATCCATGTTTGCAGTTTTTTGATAATATTCAAATGCTTTTTGTTTATCAGTTTTGACTCCACTTCTAAATTCATAACACCATCCAACTTTCCGTATTCCAAAAACATAACCCATATTAGCACTTTTTTGATAATATTCGAATGCTTTTTGTTTATCTATTTTGACTCCGATTCCAAATTGATTACATATCCAATCTTAAATATTCCCGTAGTATCACTCATATTAGCAGCTATTTGATAGTATTCGAATGTCATTTGCATCTTTTTCAACTCCGATTCCAAATCGATAATATTCACCAGCAGCCTTTCTAAAATATTCAAAGCCGTTTTTTCTATCTATTCCAATATAATCACTATCTGTATATTTTCGTCCAAGTTGATAAAGTTCTTCAGCATTTTGATTCATTGTTATTTTTCTAATAAGTAAAAAAAGCATAAAATTTTTAGTATAGTTGCTTAAATCAAGTTGGTTAATTGATTATAACAATTAACATTCTTTAATTGAGGGCAATTATCAAACTTCAAGTTGGATAATTGAATAAAAACTTTATTGATTGTTATTATTGAACTAATTTAGTGCACTCAAACATTGAATTATCGTATAATTTTCAATAGTAAAGTTTTTCTTTTATTGATCCGGAGCGAGGATCTTTTAGTGTTTATTAGGAATGTTAACCCGGTCAAACTAAAACCATCTAAGTATTAGTAGTTTGACATATAAATTAGTTTAACTAGTTCGACGATAGAACTGGTTTGGAAAATCGCAAATTATCAGTATTTTGTCATATCGATAGGTTAATTTTTGTATAGATATTTTACAACTATATTTTTTTATTTAAATGATATAATTTATCCTATACTTAAAAAATATTTAACAAAAAAATAAAAAAAAAAAACAAATATTCGTTAAATATCATTTGGAATTTCCATACCAACAGATTTACTAAGATTTAATTTTGATAAT